TCATAGTATTTCATCCTACACATATATAGTAACTTTTAAAATATCATCAATTGATGACCATATAGATTGGGTATACTTTCTCATTATAACAAATAATTATTTAGTGTCTGATTTTTGTATCTATATCTGTCTTTGCTGGGCCAGTGCAAAAGGTGAAATTTTTTATTTGAGACTTTTTTACTTTTAGAGATATTGACAATTTCTTCCACACACACAAAAAATATGTGCTAATTGATGAGTTATCAACTGTGTATCCAGAACAACTTCCCCACAAGTAAATATTTAATTCTGTTTTTAAGGAATTAGAAGAAACTCATTGAAACAAAAAAAAATGAGTATTCTATAAAGTTAATTAACTGACCTCTATCATCTCTACAATTTCACACAGGGGCTATTTTTCCTAAGTCATCTTGTGTTCAAAAACTAAAGACCACTTGGGGTAGACAAGACTTCCAAACTTAAGGCAAATACAGATATTGAAAAGGAAGGTGAGAATATTTAAAACTGCCATGTAAGAACAGGAATGGGAAATGTAGCAGACACAAGTGAGTATTTACATTACATTGGCAAGATTTATATTGCTGACATAACCAGAGTTCACTTTATTACAGTGGCTCTAAGCCACTCACTGAGGTGCTGGCATTGGAGGAATTCTGTCATTAAACAAGGATTTGTTGAGCTTCCACCATGTAGAGGTTCTGTTCCAGGCCTGCGTATATGAGCCAACAAGACAAACCAGGACCCTGTATTTCCATATACTCTGGGCTCAAGAAGATGCAATTAATTAACTAATTAACTAGTTAATTAAGTATCTTAAACATAACAGCTTAACAGTGGTTTTGGTGATACTGGGGAAGGGGAAGGATACCTTAGACTTGGAGGCAAGGCAAAGCTTCTCTGAAGTTGTGTGAGCGGTGAGCTTTTATTTAGTTGGTTGGTTGGTTGGTTGATTGGTTGGTTGGTTGGTTTGAGGTTCTGCTTGCTTGTTCACTTATTCATTTGTTTTTTGATATTAGGTCAAATCCAGAATCATACTCATGAACAATCTACCACTGAGCTACATCCCCAGCCCAGGAAAGGAAGACAACAAGAACAAGACCTCAGAGAAGATCTGGGTTAGAGAAGGAAGAAAGGGTCTAATGTGCAAATAAGCTTGGCTTGTTCGTGGGATGGGAAAAGGTCCATGGAATGCAAGGGGATGACTGGGGTCGGGGGGGAGAGGACCATGGAGTGCAAGGGGATGACTAGGGGGAGGATTATGGAGTGCAAGGGGATGATTGGGGAGGGGATTGTTTGAGAGAACACTGGGAGACATTTATTTCTATTCTAGGTGATTAGACTATTTTAGGTGTGAGAATGACATAATCTACCAAAATTAAAAAATCACACACTCTTTGGCACATACTACTGGGAGTCCTTAGACCAGATAAATGACCCATCTCAAAGTACAGGTGGTTACAATACCTATTACTTAGAGTTAACAGAAGCTGTGCAGAAATAACACTTTAAAGACTATCTGGCACATAGCATTTGTTCAGCAAATGTTTTAATCTAAATCATTATCACAGAATTAAAAAACTGATGAGCAGAACTGGGTAAAAATCACTATTCCCAGTTATGTGACATAGTAACTAGCAATATCCTCAAAATTCATTCTGATTCCATATTCTTAGAGGCTACATATTTACATACTGAATATTGCTCCTCCCCTGACCCTCTAACACAGTTCTTGGTTATTTATGTATATAATCATGCCCTGACTATCTATCTATCTATCTATCTATCTATCTATCTATCTATCTACCTATCTGCCCCGCTCCCCACCCCCCACCCCCGCCACACACACACATATTATATCACTATCTAGGTGAACTCGGAATCCCACATATAAAGGAAACAGGCAGGTAGGTAGGTAAGTGGGTGAATGGCCTAGCAGGTGTATGGGAAACAAAAGTCATGGGAACAGAGTAATGTATCTAATGTAATAAAAAAATAAGAAATGAGTATATAAAATGTATAACTGAAAAATTGTCTGCTATAATTATTATTTGGGAAATTTCCATGACACTGGACATCATGCTAAAATCATAACAGAAGACACAGCCATGATGTCAGTACTCACTGCCTTCCCATCTTGCTTCATCTGTTTAGCAACCACTGAGAAACATGAAAGAACTACTTCTTGTATTTGTCAAAGTACTGAAAACTATGAGTAATACAACCAAAATTGTGAAACTCTCTTTACTTTTATTTTTGCTTAACTATTGCCTTTCAGATCATGCACTTAGATCTATTTGTACATGCACACACACACACACACACATACACACACAGAGAGAGAGAGAGAGAGAGAGAGAGAGAGAGAGAGAGAGAGAGGCACACACACACACACACACACACACACACACACACACACACACACACACACACCCTTGGGAAAGTTTATAAACAGTGAGTGCTCCAGTTTCTAGTTTTAATACTAAGATCCACATGAGTCTTGGAAACAGTTGCCCACTGATCTTCTATCTCAACAAGCAAACTGTTTCTCTAAATTTAAAATTGTGGAGTGAACCTATATCCAAAGACAGAAAATCATAGAAAGTTGATACCAATTCAATTAATAGAACTAGTAAATTAGCAACTTAGAAGAAAGTAGCCCCTTTTACTGGAGAGTGTCCTATGACATATAAGGCATTCTTCTGCCTATTGTCTTATTTGGATCTTCAAAATAACTCTAAGAAAACATGGCAGATTGTACATCTGTGTTCTAGAGACAGAAAAACTGACAGAGTAATATATCCGTCTCTATGTGTACACATGTATGTGGAAGCCAGGGGAGAATAATGGATGTGTATGTAGAAGCCAGAGGACAACCATGGGTGTCATGCCTCTGAAGAAATTCACTGTTTTTCTTTCTGTTTTTGAGACAGGATCTCTTGTTCGTGAGAAGCTTGCCGATCAGGCTAGGCTTGCCTTGCTATCCAGCAAGCCCAGAAAACGTGCTGTCTCTGCCTCTACACTGCTGGCACTGAAGTGCACATCACCATAGCCAGCATTTTCTACACAGTATCTAGGGATGAACTCAGGTCCTTGAGCTTACATACATGTGTTTTACTGATGGAGCCTTCTCCCCAGCTCCAAAGCTCTTATCTCATGAATATTAACATATGGTATCCTTTCTCATATTTGTTACCTTCAATTCTTGCAACTATCTTATAAGGCAGGAGTTACTTTTGTTCTCATTACCATCATCAAGTAGGTGAGAAAAAATGAGTCATAAGGAGCTTAGTATTAAGCAACTTATCCTTGGTCATTCAACTAGTAAACTGGAGGGTCAGGATTCGAACTCAAGTAGATTTAGTATAGTAACTCTGAAGTGTGTTGTTATGTTGGCTCTTGAGAGTCCCTTCTCCTACCTATTTCAGTCACTCCTGCATTGGATTTAACCACTGACAAACAATGTATCTGGAGCTTAGATAAAAGATTTAAATCCCCTCTACACATGTCTAAACATTATCAAGCTGGGCGACCAGTGACTATGTTTTTTCTTCAGAATGATGGAGGACCCATATGCAAAGTGCCTAGCAGAAACCCTGGCACAGTCTATGTAGCTGTCAATTACTAAGTCTTCAACATGCCTGGCACTGTGCTAAGTGCTTTGCAGTTCTTCTTCCTTGACATGCCAGATCTAAACCTGACTCTTTGCAAATTAAACTGGTCAGTAGAGATATCTCCTTTTCACAAACCTAAAAATCTTTATAACAATGGGCTATAAGAAACTGCAATTGCTGACAATCATATGTATACATTAACTTACAAAGGTGAAGCACAAATGGAGTCTGTGAAGTCCTGGGTTGGACTCACAACATAGAGAGGGTTTCCTCTCCAAGAAAAGGAAAATTTAACACAAGAGTTACATGTAAACACACACACACACACACACACACACACACACACACACACTCACACACACTACAATATGTATAATTTTCCAAACCAAGTCAATGAACTGTAAGCAAGTTATTTCCTTGAGCTCTTTTAAATGTTGTGCTTTTTTTGATCTTTCAAAATTGAAAGCTCAAGAAATAGGTGTTAGTACATATTAACTGAGCTTTACAAAACTAAAAACTATTTCACAATCAGTTTTCAAAACTCTACACATCCTTCAAGCCAAAGTACAGAATCACCCTTGCTTTAAAACTATAAGCCAGGAAGACATGATTCCAAAATGATGTCATCTCATTCACTCATTCAACAAGAATCCACTAAACAAGGTTTTTACACACTTCATGTTGGATGAAATGAAGCAAAACTGAAGAATAGCATCCCATTTCTGACTATAGAATTCATGGTCTAGTAAGCAGTAATAAACCCAGGAAAAGCAACCATAATTTAGATATGTGAATGGCTAATTCCAAAGTGCCATGATAAGATCAAACAGCATAGAAATGGCCACAAGAAAGACTATGACACTGAACAGGGAAGCCACTCCTTTTCAAAGCACTGAGGGGTAGCAGTGTGTGTGTGTGTGTGTGTGTGTGTGTGTGTGTGTGTGTGTGTGTGTGTAAAGTTAAATATGTTCATCATCACTGAACTTCACAGGACTGGAAATCTGGAATATCTGATGAACCTAATAAATTACCCAAATATACCCATCTCTCTTCTTTCTCCGAATTCCTGTTAGACTCATAGACTGCGTCTCACTAAGAAAAATGTACAGCTGTTCACAGTAACAGAGGAAGAAAGGTGGCAAATGGTGAATACACAACTGAGACAGGGACCTGAGCTCTATTCTGCAACCAATATAAATAATATTGATTTTCAGATGATCTACTGTATATTACTCATACTGCCTCCCCCTTCTATTACTGCGGAGCACTGAATTGTCTGTGCATTCGCTGGGTCCCACTAAGAGGCCTGAACCATCACATGGCAATATCAATCATGCCTCTATGATTCATCTCTACTAAAAGCCTGCATTGAAATGATAATGCACTAACCTGTCTCCAGTTAATGGCAAAATAATGGTTGCTTGAGAAGAAAACACAATGAAGGACAATCTCATTTCGGGGCTGCAAAACAAGGAAAGAGGCAGTTAAAACATTTTTAAAAGAAATATTGGTACAATGAGGCAGAGGCAGAGCCAAGGAGTCTCGGTTAAAATGAGTCTCACTCAATAGTCCCCGCTTCCCTTAAATGGAACTCTCTAAGTAGATCCACTAACTCTGCTGGGTGGCCTTGCTATCTGAGCTGCATTTCTTTTTCTGTAGTCAGTGATTCTCAGCCCTCAGAATGCTCATCCATGGCCTCCTGGGGTTTACATCTAGGAAGAGAATACCTGGAAGGATTCTAGGCTGCTGCAAAATCCTTCCTTAGGAAAATGTTCCTTCCTTCGATCTTCAGCTCTTTGCAGGAGGCCACGCCCTATGGGGTAACTGATATGAATTACTTGGAGCTGAAGAGAAGCCAGTCTGAGTTAAGGGCCAGTCTTAATTAGAGTGCAAACAAAACTCACCCTAAAGCAAGAGTACTTACAGCTTTAAGAAATCACTGTTTTTATTTGGCCTTTTCAACTTTCCAATCTATATCCTAGGCTTCAGGCACTGACATCACACAACCATTCCTGTTTCTACAAAAGTGTATGCAAATACTGCTTAGGTCTTAAGCTAAATATATGGAACCAAGACACAAGCCGAAGGTCATACTTTCAGCATTGTGCTTGTCGGTAGTCATCTTTTATTCATTTCCTATAACATCTAATTAGTAACTAAAGTTGAGCCAGAGAACAGTATATGCTATAGAAATCCAACTTGCAAACCAGATTCGATGAAAAAGGGCCTCATTTTCTTCAGATGTTACATTGAAATGATCCAATGCCTCTGATTAACACTGTATGGCACTCCCAGCACATTCTAGGATCGAATTGAAAATCTATAAACAAACAACTGTCTATTTTACTTTGACAATTATAAATGTGTATGTGGAGGTATTGTTTATTTTTCTCTCCTACACTGTTTTACCTCAGAGCCTGTCCAGGAACTAGAGTTCTTGCTCTCTTTGGCTCCTGAGACAGGCGACTGATGATTGAACATGGACAGGCATACATTTTTATAGGAATAGCTTTACTGCTTGCCAATAACTGAAAGCAGGGATTGCCTAGGCCTCTACAGATTGTTTGAAGTTACTTGCAACATGACTTTCAAAATGTTTTGATCATCTAAGCCTGTTTTACAGAAAACATTTGGGCTAACAAGACTGAAGGAGGCAATATTTGATGACACAGCTCCTATTCATGTCCCTTTCCATTATCCTGATAAACTTGCACTTGTTCCTGGCATTTTTTTCTTCCAAAAAAACAAGGAGGGGGAGTCACAAAAAACATGGTTCCCAAGGGTTATTTTTGAATAGAAGATGCCACTAATTCCTAGTTACTTCTAAATAAGAGACTAAGCTGGATTTCCTAGCAGCCATGCTTTTTATAGGCAAGCAAAACCGTGTTTGCTACTAAAACCTCCTGCATATATAGAACAGTCAAATTTTATACCAGCCACACACCCACACATTGTGTAAATACAACTCATTTTTTTAAACACACACACACCACACATAAGTGCTTTTTTCTGTTAGTGGGTTATTAACACATGTTCATTTAAAGTTTTCCAACACTTTCTTTTTCTTCTTTAATGTGGATGTTTACAGGGCTAAGTGTGTGGAATTGAAAATAATAGTATGGATACTATTAGCATAAAATTTATTTTTTAATGTGATAAATTATGAGAAAGCATAACTCAAACTCAAAACAGATGAAAATTGGAAAAGGAAAAGACATTAAGGGTTGTATTTGGAGATGTTTCCCCACTGCCTGGGCCAAGTTTCTGGGAGCCAGATGAAGTGAACCTTCAAGGCACAGTTGAAAGACCCCACAGAACATGTGGACAAGGGCCACCTCGAGACACTTACAATTCAACATTTCAGGACACCTGGCCCCTTCGTCAGTTTCCTCTCTAATGTCAAGAAGAATGAAGTGGGGATACATACCTCACAAATCTTTCTGTAAGTTGGTGAACAAAATTATAAATTTCAATCCAGTTATTTGCCACACTCCCAGACCTGAAAAATGAAGATAAACCGATCAGAAAAACAAAACATGGGGCTAAACGGCAAACATTTCTTCATTTCTGTTCCATGAGGCTGGGGGCGGGGTCCTGGCCCCCTCTTCAAAAGTGAAGTACATGTTTCCTTCCAAGAAGAAACTTTAGCAAGCAAGCCACACTTCTCTAGGGGCTGCTCGCTTGCGAATTGCTTAAAGTGAGACCCGGCTTTTCAAAATAAAAACACAAGCGCTCATTTCTCAGGAAATGCAAACCACATTGAGTATATTAAGGCCTTTTTCTTGGCTCCCATGAAAGCGCTATGATCAGGACAAAATTGGGCAAACTTTAGAGATCCTAAAGGCGGAGAGGGGGAGTGTAATAAAGGAACCGAGGAGACAGAAAACGTTCCTGGGATGAAACATGCTGCAGGTGGCCACACAAATTTCCCAAAAGACCCCTGGACTAAATTAAACTGTGGAGAGCCAAGTAACCCCTGGATCCCACCATCCCTATCCAGCCAAAGTGCTTGCTTTTTGAAAGGAAATAGCAACAGGGCAACCTAGTGAGAGTTCCCACTGCCCTTCGCCAGAACCCAAACACCTCTCAATTTAAGTCCCAGATGACCCAACGTTGCCCTCACAGGAGACCCTGACCCCTTCACTCACTTGTCCAGAACGAAGTACAGATCGAAGGCTTTTTTGCAAGAGGGTTGCTCCTGGGCGTGCAGCAACGACCCCGGACCGCCCACAGCCAGCAGCCAAAGGCCAGGGATCAGCCAGCTCCCAGGGCTGCGCGCCCGGGACTGACCCGCCACCATCCTGCGGCCGGGGCCCCGCAGCTCCCTCTGATTCACAGCCCCTTGGGCTCAGGGCTCGGAGCTCCGGGGTCTGGGCTCCTGGATCGGGAGAGCAGAGATGCGAAGAGGCGGAGTCACCAGGGACTCACCCCCGGGTCAGAGGCTGAGAGAGATTGGGACTAACGATTCAGGCTCAGCGCCACCCGGATGCTGCCACCAAGAATAAGAGAGAGGGAGGTCCTGGGAGGACAAAGGGAGTCTCTGCGGCCGTCACAGCTGCCGCCGGAACTCTGGACAAATCCCAGTGGGCGCGCGATGCAGTCCTCCCCCTCCGGATTTCGGAGAGTTGCTGCAGACAATAAGGCCCGAGGCTACAACTCGCTGGATAAGTTCCTCCCGACCTCCGGTCGAGTCTCTAGCGCCTATCCCGGACCGGAGAGCTGACGTCTAGCTGCTGTGGTGAGCTGCGGGACACCACAATCGCCGCGGGAACTCAGCCGAGTCCTCCCCTTCCGCCTCCCTTCCTCGGACCGCCCAACTCCTCGCGGCACTTTACAACTTTCTTTCCTGCGCCAGGCACTTGCACAGAGCCCAGGGTTTATCCTGTGCAGCCGGGGATGCTGAGCGCCCGAAGACCCCAGGGCACCCCAGGCTCTCTCTAGAGGCAGTGCGAGCAAGAGGGCGGGGCTCCGGGAGGAAGCCCGCAGAGCCAGACGAGCACACTTGTGGGTTCGTGCTGAGCAGCGGATGACTAACGCCTGCCAGATTTCAGCAGAGAGAGAGAAGAGTTCGAAAAAAAAAACAAATGTCCTCTAGAAACTAAACATACCCAACTCTTCTGCAAGCCTGCCCAGGGCTGGTTTCTCCAGCTGTGCTGGAACAGCCCTCCGTGTGGTTTAGAGACCCGAAACCAGCTGTCTCCTGGGAAGTGATGGCCTTATGCCTCATCCCTCTGAACCCTTCATCCATCACACAGGCCCTAGTGTTTCAGAAAGGGGACTTCCTCTATATCCTAGGCTTCCGGCACTGACATCACACAATCATGCCTACTTCTAAAAAAGTGTATGCAAATACGGCTCAGGTCTGATATGAAACTGAGATGCAAGCCAAAGTTCATACTTTTCAGCATTGTGCTTGTCCGTAGTCGTCTTTTATTTAATTTCCTATAACTGAGTAACTGAGTAACTAAAGTTGAGCCAGAGAACAGTATATGCTATAGAAATCCAACTTGCAAACCAGTTTCGATGAAAAAGGGCCTCATTTTCTTCAGATGTTACATTGAAATGATCCTCTGGTTAACACTATATGGCACTCGTAGCACAATCTTTCAAAAAAATTGTTTTTTCATTTCTTATTAATTCCTCGAGTGTTTCATGCCATGTATATTGATCATATTCACCCCAACACCTCCCCCAGCTCCTCTTAGATCGATCCTTACCTCCCTACATACTCCTCAACTTTGTGTCCCTTTTTTTTCTTTTCTCAATAACCCATAGACTCCGATTTGAGCTGCCCTTTATGCTCCCGGGAATGGGACTGTCCACAGGAGTAGGTTTGACCTACTAAGAATTACATTCTCAAAGAAAGTTCCAACCCCCAGGAGCCATTGAGAGTGCATAGCTCCAGGGTTCCAGGGTGAGAACTCATGAAACTTTTCCCACACCATGCTCACATGTTGACCGGCTTGATCTTGTGTGGGTCTTGTGCAGGCAGCCATAGCTGCTGCAAGTTCATTAGTACAGCAATCCTGTCATGTCCAGAAGACAATGCTTAGCTCTGAGAGGTCCTCCCTGGCCTCTAGCTTTTCTGATCTGTTCCCTCACCCTCTCTCCAAACCCCCACCCTTTATGGATTGTCCCTGAGCGTTGAGGAAGGGTGTGATTTGTATGTCTCCACTTACTCATTTCAGAGGAGTGGATTCATTCCTGTGAGCATTGAAGGAGTTCTTGCCAGGACTTACAGTATCAGATATGTTTCTTTCTGTGGACTGAGCCTTAAGCCCAATCAGAAAATAGTTGTTACCCCATATCATTTGTGCCATTATTATAGACATGGGCGTATCTTGTCATGCTAGTCATTGTTGTGGTTTGTAGGACTCACTGGTAGGTGAGCTATTGATTGCTTCTCTCCTTTGATAGCACACATAATAATTTCTAAGACTATGAGAGCTAGTCTTCAGGGAGATTCCAGGTCAGTTCCAAATAGATTCCTCAAGTCCAGTGTACAAAATGTGTGGTGTCTTCAGAAATGGGGTCTTAATATCAGGTTTGGGTAGGCACCCAAGAACAAAGGCAGTGGTATTAATTTAGGGGTCTTTAAGACACACCTTTGACCAACAACTTAAAGGTAGACTACCCCACACCTGGCACTAGGCTTTTATTTTGCATCTCACCCAATCAAGAAAAAACAAATGGACAGTGATCACTAGTAATGGGAAAGTACACCTCAAAATATCTTGTCCCACTCTCATTGAGTCCCAATTATCAAGAATGTCACCTTGAAAATGCTGAATACTTGATGGGATAAATATGGGCAACTTGTAAGCATTGCACAATGTTTACATTAATATGTACAATTTTATGTATGGATAAAAGATCAAATTTAAGGAAATGACAATAAGACTTCTTTTGGGGGTTAGCTTGTCTGCTCTCCCCAAAGTCCTACAGGAGCTGAAATTTGTGTGCAAATTTCTACTGACTGATTGTTCTCTTTCTCTCCTCTCCTCTCCTCTCCTCTCCTCTCCTCTCCTCTCCTAACTGTGGCATTTGTTCCTGTATTTGACAAAGCACCTTTTAGAGCTTTCAGTGTTGCTGGTACACAATTACTGACTAATATGAAGTACCATTTCCTAATTCCAGTGCTTAATAACATGAAGTTCCTGTGGCATTTACAGGCAGCTCTTTGGTGTGTTTTGTCTGTCACCACCTATACTTAATCTTTTATTTATGATAATTTCCATTTATAGCCAGATATGTCAATGTCAGCTCTTTGAGGATAAGAGATGGTCTCTTTAAGGAATATTTATTGAGTACCTATGATGTTCTAAGAACTGTTAATGCACAGAATTCTGATAGCAAATGCCTTTTGTGAGACTTGCACTTGGGTCCCCATTTTCAATTTTAATTTGAATCAAAGGAGAATTACACTTTAAGTGCTTTTACCAACTAATACCATACCAGTATATATAACCTAATAAAATCTGATGTGAATCAAGTCTGGCAAAAAAAAAAAAAGAAAGAAACCTGTGGAAGCAATTTGAAGAGATATGGTACAGGATGTTACCCTTGACAAGGAACTTGAACTCATGTTAATTTGATTCCCTTTGCCCCTAGCTTCTTAAATTGTTGCTTGCTCATAATGTGGACTTTGCAAACTGGTCTAGGGATCTGTTTTCTTTTATAGAATTAACAAATTATAGAAAAATACACATTACGTATTCAGCACTTTCCTGATTACAAAGCTAATAAAAGTAACTGACACACTAAACTATGTCACTCATGGCTCCTTGGTTTGTCTGTGTAGGTGACAAGCTCAGCATAGTTCTAGGGAGTGTCTTGTATTCCACTTGCTTGTTCGTGTAAGACCTACAGAAAACTAGGAAATGACCTCACCCAGCACAGATCAATAGTCAATCAAATCGCTTCCATGTAGCAAATATTTGTAGACAGGTCTTTGGTTATTAGGGTAACCAGCTGTCCTGATTCACTGCCGACTGTGGGGAGTCCAAGGACATGGGCTAGAGCTAAAACTAGGTCAGTCACTCCCTGGGAGTGTCCCTGGCAAATGCTGCTGCTGGCCATGCTTTTCACAAGCAATAATGAAGGAGAATGAAAGCCAGAACACACTTGGGAATTTCTCTAGGCCATGTAGGGCTGAGATAAGAGCATCACTTCCCTCTTCTACGCCTATCCAAACTAACTTTTCTTTCCCCTAAGAATAGGAAAAGGGACTCATAATTTCAGGGACTGAGGTGGAGGGAGAGGAAGGGAAGGAAGAAGGAAGAGATGAAGACACACACATGTATGTATGTATGCATGTATGTATGTAGAGAAGGGAACTAATTAGAATGAATTCCTATAATTTAAATTAAAATACTAATCATCTATCTAATTATTTGAGCTTATGTTGAAGTATTGTTCTCAGCAATCCATCCATGTTCTCCTTTGAAACTTATCATTTGTTTTAAACCAAATTTCAAACTCAATGTTTGAATATATTGCCTTATTATAAAAAAATTTAAAAAGTGTAAAAAAAATCCAACACATTTAACCCCAATTAAATTTAGATAGAATAATGTGAGTTTATATCTGGTGCTTATTGGTTTTTATTGGCCCCTACTATATGTAGATCACTTCTACTGCCTATAGCTCTCCTGTGGACTCATGTTCCATCTTATATTACTATTTATGTACTGATCTTTGTTAACAGACATTTATTGATACCTACTATGTATCTTGCAACATCTTAAGCAAAAATGCATGAGTGAAGAGTTGGCTCAATAGCTAAGAGCATAATGGCTAAGGTCCACTTGCAGAGGACCAGGTCTCCATTCCCAGCACCTGTATCAGGAGGCTCACAACTTCCTGTAACTCAGCTCCAGGGTATCCAATGTCCTCTTCTGGCACCTGTGAGCAACCTTCACATGTTCGTACCCACACACAAATACCCATATGTGCATATAATTTAAAAATAAATGAAAATACTACATACTCTGATCTCAAGAAATTTGCATAAAATTAATTTATTTCTCTTTTCCTTTTACCAAAAAAACAATAAGCAAATAAGTAATGCTATAGGAAAACATTTTAAAACATCTTTGAGGTCTAAAAAAAATCAAAATCTGTATTACTTACAAGTACGCTTCTTTGCCTGGTATCCATAATGATGGACGTGACTCTCCTGGATGTCTAGTACTAGAGTGATTCATATATACATCACATGGGAAGTGATTCATTATATGGTATCTAAAGTGATTCAGAGGAGGAAGATAAATCTTTACTGCCTACAGGTGACAAAGTCTATTTTAGCTTTTACCAGACATGGTCATAAAAGAACTAAATTTCCCCTATGTCTAAACCAGTTCCTGAGAGTGGTATGGGGAGTTGTACTTACCTGTAAATTAAATTCTCTGTGTATGACAACAAAAGATTTCAGTCTATAATTAGAAGAGGATTCTCAACATCTGTATTTGGGACTATATGCTTAAAACCCTCATCCCTAGAAAGAGGCATGAAACCAAGACTGCACACAGGAGGTGACTTAGGGCATCCTCTCAGGATCAGAGCCTATGAGAAGATAGAGACAGGAATGGTCCCAAGCAGGACATGATTGCAGATGAAGCCTCAGCCATCCTCAAAAATAACTCTGGAGCTGAAATGGCCATTCATAGTTTTTCTGACCTGAGAAGAGAGGCAAGGGCTTGGTTTTTGTGTTCCTTCATAGAAAAGTAATCAAATATGGACTGCCCTTCAAATACAGGCATAAGCTCTGGAAAGGAAGCATCCTTTGGCTAGGCACAGTCATGAAGAGCTCAGCCGTGATCTGTCACTGGCAGCTTCCTAGAGTGAGGGTACAGCCCCAGGCCTGAAGCACAAATCCAGATGGTGCAACTACAACCACATCTACAACTACAGCATCCAGAACAGCACAACAAGCCAATGCCCTGAATCTACTTTGATAAAAGTCATCTCGTGTCAGCTCAGGGTTTCGCCGACACGGTGGAAGAGAAAATCATATGAGTATATCAATTCTACTGTGCTTGCTCTACTGGCCCTATCCCAGGTCAGTTTCTCAGTTTTCAGTGGAGTTATTCTAATAGTATTCCATCTCTTTGTGCTTCCTATACCCTTCAATGTGTTTATTTTTCTCAAATATAAAGCCAGTTGTGAAAGCTATGCAAATACTTACTGCCAATGGAATCTCATTTCCAATCAATTCATGACTCACAGCAACAGCATCATAACTTAACTCTGTATTCT